GGTCGCTGAAGCAGCCCCGCGCTGCTGGGAGCTGGAAACAGCAGCACGTCTACTGCTGAGGCTCTTCGCTTTCTGACCCGTTCCCTTTCCTCCCCACTTCGGACGTGCCAAGGGGACGCAGCGGCCCGTCCCCGGGAGGTTTGTAGCCCCTTCAGCCCCGCGCCGGGCCCGTCACCCTCCTTTTCCATAGGGAGAGGGCGAGTGCGGGGCTGAGGAGGGGGGGACGCGTCTGTTCGTACCAGCCTCTGATCCTTTGGCTGCTGGAAGAATCATAGCGAGTCACCAAGCATCAGGAAAGCCACAAAAAAGGAACTGCTTATTCGTTTATTCTAGAGGGGAAAAAAATATATATTTTTTTTTTTTTAAATGAACTGAGCAGATTCGAACTTCCGGTTTGAGGAAAGAAACGTTTCTCTAAATGATGTGTCCCCTGTGCGCGATCTGAGAGGCGCTCCTGCCGTAACAGTAAAAGAAAACGAAACGAGCGTTCTGTTAAAGTTGGGCTGAACCAAAGAATTCCTTTTTACTGCATCTGAAACTTCCTGCCGTCGTTTACCGCTGGGGAATGAATATGTATATGGGGGCCTGACCACTTGTCAAACATTTTGACTGCCCGCGTCACCGCGTTCCACAGCTGGCAGGTTCAGGGAGACAAAAGGAACAAAGTGTGCTGTGTACCAGCAGTAAAACCGTGCGCCGAGAACCCGCGACCAAGGCCTGCAGACTTCTGGCCAGCCCCAAATACAGTCCACGAGCACAATATTTGTGTTTGTTTTTCTTTAATCTATTCTGTTTTGGGTTTCTTTTCTGACCCTTTTTTTCCTGATTTGATTTCTTTAAATATAAGCAGTACTACTGGATGTGAAAAACAGATTAAAAAATTGTATAAATGCAAAATATTTTTCATGGCTATTTAACAGGTGTGAGTTTAGAAAGAACAAAATTGGGTCTCGAAAGAAAATAGATTTCGAACGTGAAGATGTGATACTCTGTCCTCTTCTGGATTTTCGTTTTGAAGTGATGACGTGAATTAAACCTGTACCAGCTGTCCTAACTCGGAGTTCCCAGTCTTTACAGGCCAATGTTAAATACTAATATAATTTTTGCATTTGCTTCACTGTGGTTTTAGAGCAAACATAGCCTCCATGGAATGTTTTAAAATGTATGGCTTTTAAAGGCCTAATCCGGCTTCCAGGAAGGTCAAAAATTCCTCTCTGCTGACCAGGATGAGGCTTGGAGCAGGAGCTCGGTCAGGTCCGCACGGTATGTCTGTCTGTCCTCAGGTGCAGAAAACAGACCGACAACAGGTCTGTTCTGTCACATTTGCAGGAAAACCGCATTTCGTACGAACTGCTGAGTAAATGTGTCACGGCTCCTATGCTGATCTTGCTAATTAATTCAGCTTCCAAAAAAAGCAGGTCTGAAAAAATCCTTCTGATGTATACATATTTCAGATATTAAGCTACTGCAGGAACTGCAGCCCCGCTGTGGGCAGAGGCTGCTCGCTGCTCCTCTCTTGCGTAAGCTGGTGGCAGCTGAACAGGGTCTCCATCAAACGGGCACCACCGCCCTGCTCTTCGTCTGAATCCCAAATTGGCACGTCCTGCAAGAAAAAATCCTGTTAGGGCTGAAGCATTTGCTTAAAAGTGCGTGAGTGGGTAGTTTATTTTTGTGTGGATAAATGGCATTTCAGTCACTCGCCTGGATTTATCTCGCTTGAGCCAAATAAAAATCAGAGGCAGATTTCCGTACTGCTCTTGCAAACACAGCCAGCCTCGAAAGTTTGAAGATACATGAGCCATTTTCCTATGAACTGCTGAGGTCTTAACAGACCTTTTTGGGCTTATTTTCCGCTTCCTCTGAAATACTGATGCAGTTTACAGAACGTGGTGTGACTCTAGGAGAGATGAACTGGTTTGTTCTGACCCAGAAAGAAAAAAACCCTTGCTCTGCTCCCCTTTGGTAAAGGTTGCATCTGTGCAGCCACATCCTCAAAGAATTTGAGATGCTAGCAGGTTCTTTTGCATCTATTTATGTCATTTACTTTAAACTAAACCCACAAGGAATACAGGAAAAAATGTCATGCAGATAGTTGGTGAGCATCCTTCATCTGCAGTTTGAGGACGTCAGCTGGCTCCGAGTACCTCACTTTCAGACTGTGTTTTGCTGGGTAACGTTCCTGCAAAGCACCCGTGCTGGCTTTGCTTATTTTTTATTCTTAGTTGAAGCCTTCCAGCTTCCAGGTGATGTGTCATCATTAATTTTGAATGAAAAACATTGTTTTTAAAAGCTCGTATAGCTATTGCTCTGATTGTTTATAAAGCTTAGTATTAAAACTAATGAAGGTGACATTAGTCATACAGCAGGCAGAGGAGATAATTTCTGTCTAGTTTAAGGTATTATTATTTACCAGGCTTTTCTCACTGTCCCCACAGCATACCTACGGGGAGAGCGCATTATAGTGCTCCTCATCCGCTTCAGTGCAAGAGCAAACAGTTCTACTTAAATGACTTCTGAAATCATTGCATCTGTGCATGCAGTAATTACCTCACTTCTGCCAAATGAATTGATTGTAAAAACAGATAAAAAAATCTCCTTAAACAGATTCACAGTTCCAACTAATAATTTTACTACACTCTGTTTTCTGGGTTTGGGCTTCTTTTTTTTTTCCTTCTGTTTTCACTGTGGTACTTTTGGGGTTCCTTCAGAGTCTGAAACAAGTCAGTGACCTGTGAAGCTCTAGCGTGAGAGCCAACCGTGTTACCATTTCAGGCGATTTCATTTACTGCCAATGTTAGTAAAGCCCTGGGACTCCGGCTCAGTTACTGGAGTCTGGATCTTCCGAACACTCCCAAATAATGTCACACTTCTGTCTTGGCTAGGGTAAGGATAGATAGGCTCAGCTCATATCTTGCTTGACGTAACCATCAGGACTGGTCATTTCACCCTGGCTCTTCATTAAATATTGTCTTGAATTTCAAAGAACACAAGGGCTAAATTGAGTTACCAGATTCTAAAAGCAGCCTGGTGCAAGCAGATTTCCTTTTAAAAACAAAAATTAAACTTACCACCTAAATGGCAAACCCTTTAGCCAGATGAGTTACTTCATTAAGCATGTAAGGACTGTTTTGAATAAAACTCTGTACGGCTGCTCGCTAAAACTGCATCCTCATTCTTGCTTGTGGAGAGAGCCCTTCCCACGACAGCCTTGCTGGGAGAGCCGCCCGCCAGGCCACACGTGCGCTATCACCCGGCAGGACACGCAGGTCTCCCAGCCCGGGGCGGCTGGTGGGAGCGCTGGGATGTGCCTCAGCCTCAGCCCCGCAGCCCCGCCCCGGCCCCGCTCCCCCTT